ACCCCGGGGTGTGAAGCCGCTGCACGCAGGCTCTCGAAACCAGGTGCATCGCTGAGACACGACTGCTGGAAGTCTAAAACAGGGAGGGGTTACCGCTTTTTTTTAACCTGAGTTTTCACATGCCTTTACTTTCACTGCAGGCTCCCGGGACAAAGGCACAGGATGGGACAGGCACGTGGGATGACGCACCTCCCATCCCAAGGGACAGCGGAGGGACGTGACCATCTGGGGAGCCGACTCCTGACCGAAGCACCGTGCTCGGAGCCAGGCCACCCGGATGCAAAGCAGCAGCACCACGGCACCTCCATCCTCCTCCGGTGTCTCACAAAGCAGCAAAGGGATCACATCAGGTTTGGGATGGGGGGAAGCAGCCGGAGAAATGGCTGAATCACAGAATCATAGAATGGTTTGGGTTGGAAGAGACCTTAAAGGCCACCTCGTTCCAACCCCCCTGCCATGGGCAGGGACACCTTCCACTAGACCAGTTGCTCAAAGCCTCATCCAGCCTGGCCTTGGACACTTCCAGGGATGGGGCATCCACAGCTTCTCTGGGCAACCTGTTCCAGTGCTCCCCACCCTTTCCGGGAAGAATTTCTTCCTGATATCTAATCTAAATCTCCCTGCTTTCAATTTAAACCCAATGCTTAGTGAAGAAAATTTCAAACGGCTGAATAAAATAACCTTGTCTTCCACAATTTCCATACACTTTTGTGTCACAGTTTATTGCCACAAACATTATGGAAAACATCACTAAATTCTCTCTGATAAAAATATTGCGTGCTCAGAGTCCCATCTGAGCCCAGGCAAGGCTGGGTTTGAGCACTGGAAAGGAGGCGGCTGTTGAGCTTTCACCCCAGCTGTTTATTGCCCCAAAGCCAGTGCAGTTTTAAGCTGCATGAATGAAACTGCAACGCAGCAGGTTTCACGGGGGTGCTGCCTCGGTCACCAGAGAGTTTCACGGGAGAGCCAACCAAAAAAATCAGCATGTGGCTCAAAAGGAAGAGCTGAAGGAAAAGAAATAGCATGCAGGCAGCATCTCAGGCCTCCTCTGCGAACATGAAACACACAAAATCTCGAGGGACGGAGATGTCAGTCTGTCTGCGTCGAGGAATTCCTCACTCGACAGCTCTCGGTGGCCAAGCGGAGCCCGGCCATGCCGGTTCAGTGGTGATGGGCCTACACAAAGCCCTGGCTTTGCCTCGTCCTAGAATGGCATTGTCCCAGAGTCCAAGGAGGGGGCTTCCCCAGCTTCTCTTTCCGCCGCTTCCCCACCCAAGCAGCCAGCACAGCGCCCCGCTGCCCGCAGGCTGCCTGCACCTACCTCGTGTGGGCGGGCACGCTGCCTGCGCTAGGCTGGAAGCTGCTCCTGCTTCAGCCCTCTGCCTCCGAGAAGGAACTCAGCTGCTTCTTCTCCTTGCCCTGGAGGAACGGTGGTTTGGGCACGGGTTTATCCCAACCCGTATCACGACCTGCCTCCAATTAGAAATCACAGCAATTAGGCAGAGGATCATTTAGCGGCACAATTAGCATCTGTTTCTGAGCACAGATGAGACAGAGCAGGAGCAGTTTGCTTTGTGGGTTTTTGGGCTGCTGTGAAGCGCTCCCCCTATTCCCCCCGGCTCCGCTCAGCTATACGTTTCTACCCGTTCTATACATTTCCAGGACAAAGAATTAGCTGCCTTTATTCAGGGATCTCCAAGTTCTTTGCAAGCCTTAACTGAGGGCTCTCAACAAGCCCGAGAGGCCAATCTGCCTCAGGAGTTTCTTTCCACCTTACAGATCAGCCCACGAAGACCAGCACCAGCTCCACGTGCTGTCAGGAGACCCGGCCTAAGTTCTAGATCTAAAAACACCACGTTACCCCCTCCCTCCTGAATTATCAGAGCTTGCGCTCTGCAGCGTACCCCATACGCCCTTTTGCCGACTCCCCGATGCCAGCGGACACCCGCCGGTGTTTCTGGAGCAGCTTAAGCCAGCAAACCAGACCGGTAACGGATGAACACTCTTCTCAAGGACATGGTGTTTTGACCTGGTATGGGGAACCCTGCCCCAGACTTTCCTGCATTGCTAAGTCGCTACTAGGAGGGAGGAGAAGCAGCTCCAACCACACAAGACAGCCACAGCAGAGCCCCAAGCTTGAGTTACAGCTGGCAACCACCAGAACACGCATTGCTCTGCAAGCGGGAGAAACAACGTTCACCACAAAACTCAGGGAAACCGAGAAGCAACTCTTCTACTGCCTTCCATAAGCTTAAAGAAAGACTCTAACAGGTGGATGGCTTTCACCATGCTGAGAACATGAGAAAAGACAACAGGTCACGCCACAGAGACCTCACTGAAGAGATGCAAAGTCCAGGACCAGAGTACCGCTATGGCCCCTTGTGTGAGCTACAGGCTCGGATCACATGAGGCTCCTTCTGACTTGACCCCCTGAAGCTCCGAATCCCCATCTCTCCATCAGTGGGAGAGCCAAAACTGGGAAAGTTCAGAGGTTCTGATTTGTGTGGAATAGATAAGGAAAGCAAACACACTCCGATAACTTCTTCCCTCGCGCGCGGCTGTCTGAAGGTTGCCCTCGCAGGCAGGATGCACAGTCTGTACCACAGGCCTTAAATTTGACTGGGCCTAGTTAAAAATAAACATTCTACGTCAGCCATGCTCCCGCTACAGCAACATGTTCAACGGCCCCAGTTTGCTCCCATTCCCCTCAGAAGCGGGATCATGTTTCCAGGGAAAGGCTGGACTGGGGGAACCCTGGCTGGTCTGGCCCACGGGGTCACAGGATTTCCCAATTTCTTTCATGCCAGTTGGTTAATTTGCAAGCTAAAAAGGACCGTCACAGGCAAAGTTTGACTACACTCCATTAGGAAACACCCACCCCAGCTTTCCACACAGCTCAGCCTGTTCACTGCCTGACTGGAGCATCCAGATGGGCAGGTGTCATTTTGGTTCACAGTTGACGTCTGCATCCCTACCCAGTCAACAGATACAAGAGGACAAAGGCTAAGCTGTTTTCGGTCAATTTTTTCCCCATTTCTGATAAAAAAAAGCACACAGATGGAACAATTTAGCAATGGTGTTAGGCTGAAACCCCTGCCCTCGAGGAGCCACAAGAAGCAATTCTTCAGGGCAGAATTAAAAGCTCTCTTTATTTCCAGGGGAAATGCTTTTTGGACAGTGACTCTTGCTGGAAAAATGAAGCCAGCACAGCAACAGACCAGGCTTTGGAGAGCCGGGATGTCCCCACAACAACGTGCTGGAAGGGGCTGACGTTATCCCCATCACCAGGACTTGCACAGCACTTGCCTCTCCAGCAGCCCTTGGGGGAACAACTGGACCTGCAATACCTTGGCAATTCCTTCTGCAGCCTCCTCAGAAAGGAGCGTGTGAAATACCAGGGGCCGAGAGGCCCAGTGGAACGTTACTCCCCCTCTGCGAGATACCACCAAGTTTTCCCACACTAAAGCAGCACGTTCTTGGCTTTGGTTTCTGAAAGTCTGCAGTGATGTACCACATTTCAGTCTGGCACCAGCTGGAAGACGACCGTTTCACTCCTTCGGTTGAAGGGCACGCTCTAGGTATGCATGCCGTCTCGACTCCGCTTCCTGTTGGTTTTATCTTCAGATCATCAGGGAGGCAACAAATACAATTTACGCACCAAGCCATCAGCTCTGCGTTGGCAAGTCCCGTTCTTCAAGGATCCTTTTCACACTCTCCACAATGGTCCACACTTCTGCCATGGCACCTCGACCTGCAGGGGAAGAGCAAAACGGCAGGGTGAAATCCCTGTCCCACCTCCTCGCTTCTCCACATGCTGCGCCGCTGCGGAAAACGAGCCGTACAACGGTGGCGTGGCACAGCAAAGCTCACCAAGTATCCCCACGTCGTTCCTTACGGCTGGTCCGAAACAAAGCGACTGTGGAGACCAGAGGACCTGCTCGGTCCTCCTGGTTCTGCAGGGGCTCTGTGGCACGGCTGAAGGCCATCAGGGAAGGAGAGCAAGAAGAGTCAGAAACTCAGAAATCTAAGCAGGAGCACAAGCTCCTCAGACAGTCAATGGAGGGAGGCAGGAAACCTCAAAAGGCAACTCATATGACCTTAATAAGTACCTCCTGTTCTGAATCACCCCCATACGTGTCTGCATCTAACCCTTGACCGCACAGGGAGTTACTATCTTACCTCACACCGCCCTGGGGGCAAGTATGCAAAAGTGTCCCCCCCCAAAAGCGTGTGGGTAGCAAAATACCCTATTTCACCTCCTTTCTCCGGTGTAAACATTGTGTGTGTGTCCAGTATCTTTTTGAAATGGCCTTTGCCTATAAAAACAGACTTGCTGAATTCACACAATTCCCGTGACTCTGCAGTTAGACCCACATTAGAGAAAGCTGTCCTGGATTTGCACCAGCTTGAATCCTGGGAGTAATTCTTGGAGAAGACTGAGTGCTGGACAGATCAAAATGTAAAAGCTTTTCCTTTTGGACTGCTTGGTTGCCAGGTGAGCATCTAATCTGCATTGTGCTGTTCCTTCCCTCTGAAATACTTTTTAAAACTTAAATTTTAAAGCCAGCGATCGTTAAATCCCCTCGTCCAACCTCGTGTACTGAACTCAGCATCCCAAAGTCGGTCCATTCACCCCTGTAATTTGCCTGGAGCCAAAGACAGACACTTTTCCCAGCAGCATTTGTCTCCATTGGAAGACTGAAGAGATGGACTCTATTGATCATTTGTCCTGCTGGCTAACTGCTGTAATAACTTAAAATACAGGCCATATTGGACATGAGAAATTAGTTCTGGGAGGCTTTGTTTTCCTCTTTTTTCCTGATCTGCTTCCACAGCTGGGTTACTGAGCACACAGATGAACAGCTAAATTGGCAGCCTCCGAAGGACAGGAGCAACCCGAGGGCAGGCAAGAGACAGAGGGGAACAGAAAAGGCCGTCCTGACCAGCAAGGAGAGGTGCTTTTGGGGGGACAGATCACAGCCCTGAATCTACCTGGACCCTCAGGTTTTTGGGTGCAGATGGGCTGGCCAAGCCTTGTCTGAGACAGAAGGTGTAACTGGATATAATCGAGGATTTGCAATGAAGAATAATACCTTTGGAAGGTCGTGAAAATTGGGTCTCCCTGCAAAGTAATACTCATTCTCCACTCTGCCTTTTTCAGACCTGTAAATCCCAGGAGGTCTGAAGCATCCTGTGGACAAGCCGCAGGCAGATTTGGGCCCTTCTGGTCTCCTAACTCTGAAGAAAGGAGCTGTGGCTGACAGGTCCTGCTAAACAAGAGAAATTCCCTGACTGCCTTTGCATGGTTTGGCAGAGCTACGCTCTTCAAGAACATTTCCAAGGTCTGCCTTCATCCTCTGCCACCCACTTCCTCCAGATCTTTGGCAATTCACAGCTGAATTTTTAGGTTTAGCAGAGTAAAATCTCACTAAGTGGCCTGTCTTACAACACAGTTCATGCCTACAGGTAGAAATCTTCCAGTGGGCCAGGCTCTAGAAATCCAGCCAAGGATGATGAAGATACTATCAGTTTGGAAACCTATTTGCAAAGGTAAATTGCTACAGGCCCATGTGTGGTACAGCACCTCTCAAAGCTCTCTTTATATCGTGGCACACTGGATATCGTCAAGGTCAAGAACTGGTAGCTTACATTTAACTATCCAATCAAGGAAACATTTTAATTGTCAACTCAATTTAATTGTTATTTTAACTCTTCTTTTAGCTGGACTCTACCTCTTAAAACACCCATTTACTAAGGGAGAAAAATGAATCAGGTAAAGCCTGTAATGCAGAAACTTAGTGGCAGTGAGTATCGGGCCCATTTCAGGTGAGACCAGCCACATGAGTGGAGGAAAATAAACCTCTTTTACAGCAAGACAAACCACAATGTCAACAGACAAAACTGGTGCAAACTGAATCTTTTTTTCTTCTGCACCAGATGTGCGAGCTTCATTATCTGCTGGGCAAACCCCTTTGTGGATGAAACCCACAAAACCGAAATTAGTGTGGAAGAAGAGGCCTTGGGGTGGAAGGCCTGAAAAAACAGAGGGAAAGAAAGGAAAAAGTCAGTGGTGGGGACCGTCTTGGGTCTTCAGTCACCTGGAGTCCATTATTGCTGTGCTGGTTGGCTGGGACAAAGTTAATTTTCTTCCTAGCAGCTGGTATGGGGCTGTGGTTTGGATGGGTGCTGAACACAGTGTTGATAACTCAGGGGTGTTGCAGTTACCCCTTACACAGAGCCAGGGCCTTCCCTGCTCCTCCCCCCACCTCACCAGCGAGGAGGCTGGGGGGGCACAAGGAGTTGGGAGGGGACACAGCCAGGACAGCTGACCCCAGCTGACCAAAGGGATATTCCAGACCATATGGCATCATGCTCAGCAATAAAATTAGGGGGGGAAGTTGGTGTGGGGGGGTGTCACTGCTCAGGGACTGGCTGGGCATCAGTCGGTTGGTAGTGAGCAATTGTTTTCATCCGCATCACCTGTCTTTCTTGGGATTTATTTCTCTCTGTTATTTTCCTTTTCATTACAATTTTTTATTATTATCATCATCATTATTCTATTATTTCAATGAATAAATTGTCTTTATCTCAACCCATGAGTTTTCTCACTTTTACCCTTCTGATTCTCTCCCCCACATGCTGCTGGGGGGAGTGAGCAAGCAGCTGTGTGGTGCTTGGTTGCCAGCTGGGTTAAACCACGACAACTGCTTTGCCATAATTTTCCTACATGTTGCGAGGAAAATCCTGGCATTTGCCAACAGGAAAATCTTGTTGTGAACTGACTCACAAACACAAGCGGAGTCGAGTCAGATGTGGCTGCCCCAGCTGCCCGTACCATCCCTCTCCCGCACGCTCCTTCAGGAGTTTGTTCTCACAGTAGAGACGGCTGAACTGAATACGAAGCAGCTCCCAAATGACTGCTGGTGTAATGAGGTAACTCCTGACCAATGCTGCTTTACTTTGCCATTCCGAGCTACAAACCACAGCAATTCACATGCTGCTTCTCATGTGGCTTACACATCCCTGTCGCAAGGACGGCAACCCCCAGGAAAGGGGCAGGGCAGAGCAGCAGAAGGTGGAAACCACGTTCACCATCCAACTCTAATCCGTTTGGGCTGGTGAGTCAACTCACGTGGCCCTTCTGCATCTCAGATGCAAGAATAAGCACTCTGCCCACTCTCCTGTGCGCTGCAGCAGAGATCCTATACATGCACTAAAAAAGATAAAGGGAAAAAATAAAGGACAAAGAAGCTATACCAGATGGCCTTTCCACTTCTGCCAAAATGTCTGCACAGAATGACCTATTTTGGGCGTTTTCCCTTAACATTATTACACGTACGTAAGAGATTTGATGTAATCAGGTCTAAAATCCCAGCGGAAGCATAATTGTCTGGGCTGTTTCAACTGATGCCCAAGTTACTTGACTACGCTTACCTAACTGTAAATATTTCTTAGTCTTCAGCTCCAAGAAAACACTCTCTATGTGCATGGCATCTACCTAAGAATTCAGACAGCCCTAGAATTTAACCATGAAGGACATGTTAACATCCTGTCTTTGCTACAGGCTGTTTACTGAACTATCTGACCGAGCGGTTAAAATCCTGCTAGAGCTGGGGTTGTTAAACTAAAGTATGAGTATCCTACTGTGCAGGTAATAACACGTTTGCTATTGTGGCTAGAACTGGGTGACATTTTATGCGGAGTCTTTCTATATTGAAAACGGCATAGTGGGTCCATGGGAACTTTAAAACTGACCCTCAAAAAGAGGATGAAAAACAAGAATGTTTACTGAAGAGCAGTTCAAGATGGAAAATCCCCTATTGCGGAAATCCCCTATTGCAGCGATTAGAATATCCAATCAACTGCTTAGCTAAAAATAGTATCCAATCAGCTGTGTAGCTAAAAATAGTAACGCTATATAAAGAAGTGTCTCTGTAACGCTATATAAAGAAGTGGCTCATAGCAATAAAGGTCTCCATTCTAACATCAGTTGGAGTCCATGTCTTGCTTCCCCGACAATTTTACAGACAATTTGTCCGAGAAAATGCTGATAAAAAAGCAAATCCATTCATGCCAATTCCTTGTATAAAAACCCTCCTCAAAACATTGCAAAAGCCAAAATACCTCCATTTAAAGCAGCTCCTAAAATACAAACGAGACCATCTTAGTAGTGTTTCTCAGCACTGCAAGTTAAGTCTTCTGAAACCGAGCGTGACAACTTTCCCTACCCTGCTCCTTCACTTCACAGACAAGTCTGATGTCAAAACCGCAAATCAGAACCCGACTGGGAAGCTGAAAAGTAACCCAGGCAACATGCAACAACAAATGTTAAATGCATGTCCAGCTACACCCTCAGCCACGTCTGCAACGCGCTTATGCTCACTGTCTGCTCTCGGGGATAAGATATTATCCCTGTGTTAGAGATGAGGAACTGAGGCGTGATGAACACAGCCCGCAGTCACAGCAGAGGGCAAGGTCAGGACACCCAAATCCCAGGCTGATAACGCTCACCGAACAGCCTTCCTTCTCTTTGATCTACTCTCCTCTTGAATGAGTATTTCTTTTAAGTATCAGGCCTATCCAACAGCTCATTTGAAAGCCTGGCTTGGATGGTCTCTTAAGACTACTTAAAAATTAATGAACAAGAATAATAGATATCAGCTAGCACAGGGCAAATCTTCAGTTTGTTCGTATGAAACCCGGCAGTGACAAACTGCTCCCTGCAGTCCAGCATCTTGAAGGCCACACAGCAAAAGAACCCACGTCCCCGCGGGATAAGGGCAGCACTCGCACAGGAAACCAGTCAGAAGACACACAAAAGGACTGACCTTCATCTCCACACACCAGTTTCTTCACCACACAGGGGATCTCTGTGTAGCCAAAGCCCTTCAGCTGCTCCACCTGCTGAGCTGTGATGGGATGTTCCCACATGGCCGTGTTCATCGCTGGGCAGAAGAGCAGAGGTTTGCTCAGATCCCAAGCACGGATGACACAAGTCTGCAAGAGAAGCCAAGAGGTTCAGCTCTGAGATGGGTTATCTTTCCTCATTCCCTCTCCCCCCTTGGCTGCACAGAAGTGCTTTCCCAGCCTGGGTGCCATCAGAGGGCCAAAAGCCTCAATCTGTCAGTGCAGCTGGACTAACCCACAGGCAGATCCACAGGGCTGCTACTAATTTGTGTTACATTCCAGCAAAGCTCATCTCTGACAGGCAAGATGGATGAGGAAGGTTACAAAGAGGATCGATTCCATCCTGCTCCAGCTCGGCGCCAAGCAAGCAGCCCAATCGCTGGAGCAAACCAAGCTGGAACACGATGCATGCAGACTGCCAGCCCATGTGGGAGACCAAGAGAAGCTGAGCGGTGGCCACAGATCATATCAGCTATAGAGAAATCCCCAGGCAGCACTTCAGATAAGCCAGCTGCAGAACTAAACACAAAAAAGTTGGCGAGACTTTTTTCAATGCTATGCCAACTGGATTCGTAACTCCTCACAAGGGAAGTGTTGCGCTTCCAGGATACAAAGAGAGGATAACACGAACACATTTGGGCTGTTGCAGAAGTTGCTGGCAGATTACAAACCATCTAGCAGCTCCTGCATGCTACAGGGAATCATATCTGACTCCTCAGTAACACGGAACTTCCAGATAACCCAGTATCACCTCATCTCCTTAAAAAGATACATGCTGTTTGCTCTTAATGCAACGTCCATCAGTTTCCCTAGGCCTAGAAGCATTTAAATCATGCAAAGGGAGCTCCCCAGGTAGCAAAGGCCCCTGGTGAATGGTCTCCGCTCAGACTGTAGAGCACTTACGAGAAGCCTGCCCTTCCTTTTTTATGCCCTGCAATTTGAACCCTTCCCAGCACAGGAAAGTGCTCCAATCTGTTCTAACTTGCCAACCAGCACCTCCAGCACTTGCTTTCCTTTGCTGGAGCTGCCTCTTACCTCCACAAGGCTCTCTGAAAAGACTGGCAGGAGTTTGTGAAGCCACCCATCGCTGACATCCTCTCCAAGCTCTTCCCCCTACTACCACCATCATGTCTACAGTGCCAAGGGGACCCAGAAGGACAAGACATTGCTTGTCCCTCCTACAGCTCCTTCTGGCTTCTCTCAGATCTCCAGCGAGCTACTCATACAAATGAGGGCTGCTGCTCTGGGTGTATTTTGTTCCTTTACACGCACTCCTTCTTAGCTGAGCAGCTAAGTTGGTCACACAAGGCTCCCCAGCCAGAGCTGACAGGCTGCCCTCTGTTCTCAGTTCTAGCCTCCTCACATTACTGAAGGGTGATGCATCACGGCAACACTCGCAGATCTGCAGCTTCTTGGCAGATCTTTTGGGTGGTTAATGCTTATGACTTCTCCTAATGAAACCCTAATGCCTGGACACAAAGCAGCCCCAGTGAAGTTCCCCATCACTGAACAGAGTAGCACACTCTTTTAATACACTTTCTGATCAGCCTTTGAGCCAGAGAACCTTTAATACCAGAAAAGCAAGCCTGAACACGCGAAAACCCCTGCAGCTGAGACTGGAAGGTACGTCGGTGTGAGCATGTCTGAATTTCTGTGCGATGCAGTTAGGTGAGGGAGGAGGTGAGGTAGCAGGAAGTAAACAGTTTTATCTGATCTCACAGGTGTCTTTCCAGATTGCATCTAAAAAATGCAGAGAGGAACTCAGAAGTGAGTGCAAGCGCGTATGCGGGTGCGTGTGTGTGTGTACATGCATGACGGAGAGAGGGTGGAGGTAGAGAGAGAAATACTGCCCATCAGAAAAAGCAGGAAAGGCACAAAGCAGGGACTGGGAAATTGTTGCGAGGGATGTAATAACGGACTTCACGCCATGATCAATATGATCTACGTGAGCCAATTTATTCCAGGGTTACATGCCTTTTTATACACTTGCTAAATGCCCGGTGCGTATGTAATCGATTATGATTGGTTCTTAGCTAAAGTTATTTGCTAAAAGCAAGCTTTGTTCATGTAGCAACTTGCAGTTTCTGCTTGGTCAGGTGCAGCAGTCTTGTGAGCTTGAGAGTGTTCACAGTTCTTCTTTCCCAAGGCCTTCAGCACTTCTTATTTAACATTGTTTCTTCTCTTCGATGCATTGTTCATTCTCTTCTATGACCTGTAGTGCCCTATTTGCTCTAGGCCAAAGCCAGGGTTGCTCAAGTTCAAAGAGTCTACATGACCATAGTCCTGCAGAAAATCCTCAACAGGAAATAATGGAAGAGACTGACAGAGCCAGGGACTGGAAAAGGATGTAGGTCAGTGAAGGAAAGAGCAATGGTTTGAGAAGGAATAGGGGAACTATACTGGAGGAAGAGAAAGACAAGCATACGAAGTGGGAGCAGAACATGCAAATCTCACTGCTGTTGATGCTTGTAGAAGCACAAGAGTTTCCATGAGAGGAAGGTCAGACAGCCTAATGCTGGGAGGTGAGCGAACTCCCAGGCAGAGCTCTGGTTACTCACCAGCAGGTTGTCACAGATGCCATTCGCGAGCTTTGCCAGCGTGTTTGCGTCAAGAGGTGCCACCAACATGAGGTCAGCCCACCGCCTGAGCTCGATGTGCAGGACCGGGTCTGAACGGCCTTTCCACAGCTGTGGGTGAGACACGGTGCACGTTACTGAACCCTCGCCACGAACGCTGCGGACAACGGGCACTGTATCAACTCCACATTGGTAACCTCCATGTAAACTTCAGGGGAAAGAATTACTCTCGCATCAAGCAAGATCTGACAGCGCGGGGGATCAGGAAGCAGCCGCAGTGCTCACGTTTCTGACCCCCCTCCTCCTCCAGAGAAGGCTGCGTGGCAGCTATGTTTATGAAGCACATTTAACAGATGGCACCTATCTGCTTGGTGCTCAACAAACGGGTATCCTTTCCCCACAAAGACAACAATTCACATGCCCAACAACCACAGATTTCAACTCACAGGAAAAAGCTTCCCATTCACATCACCTCTCGGCTTCAGAAATGTCCATAAGTGCTCCCTCAGCGGGTAGTGTACCTGAGCTGACTGAGGCCAGACAAGACCAAACCAGGGGTCCCATTTCCTGAGGAACCCATGCAATTTAGAATCCTTGCATTTCTTTACAGTGAAGCTGCCCACTGGCTTCTAACGAGGAACAGACCCCTAACTGCACAAGTCCCTTTTCAGTTGGGATGCACACCCCTACACACACTCACAGCATCAAAGTAAATGCCCATAACAGCAGCAGAGGATGGACGAGGCTCAGCCAGCTGGGCCCTTCCTTCCTCTCTTGGCTTGTAGGTGAATATTTCTATTTTCACTAAAGCTCTCAGTTGCTCAAGAAAGTCCTGGTCTTTTCTTCAGAGTGTAGTTAACTAGAAAGTGTCAAGAGAAGCAGCAAACAGCATCAGGTGCTTAATCCCCAGAGGACACACACAACCACAGGCCAGCACGAGGAGCATCAGGGCCACAGACTGTTCATTCTCTGAGTCACTGGAAACCACAACAAAAAGACAGCATCCGGAAAGCTGGTGCTTCCTGACACCTTTCCCAACCCCTCCATTCACGTCTATTTTTTTTCTAGAAGCACTGAAAATTGTAGTTTTATTTTCAGAATAAAATCTCTCACAAACAGTTGCTGAGCAGGCTTATTTTCCACCCTTCTGTCAGTATGGCATGTTCTAAGGGCTCTGGGCCTGCTCCCCAGTGCGCCAGCAGACCTCAAAGCCTGACCGGCCCCTCTGATCACCCCATCGAGGGTTCCTCAGAACTAACTTTACCTGGCGCTGTAGCACCCTGGGACCCAGCAGATCTCCCATCAGTCTCCTAGACCAGCCAGAAAGCTTCCTGGCCATTGTCATTAGCGTGCCTCTCCAAATGAAAGCAATCCTCAGGTGTGAGTGCGTTGGCAAGGATAGAGGTAAAGAGTAGATCACCTTGTACTCAGACCAGTACCACAAAAAGGAGACAAAAATGTGTAAAAAACCAAACACTGATGTTTATACAATGAACCCCTGTATACTCAGGGACTCTCAAAGCATGTCAGCAAAACCACAGTCAAGAGAAAAAGCCCCTTTATAGGTTCTAGAGACGTTCACAGCCCTGACAACTGAGCTGTTCCTTACTGGAATGGCAATTCTCTGTATGCACGAGCACAGATGCGGACACCTCAGAGATGAACACCACTTCCACTGGGAAAACCTCTCTTACTTCCAGCCACCAATTACACCAGCGTAACCTATCTCCAGGTACTGGCCTTCCTCTGCACCGCTACACCAGTGTGGCCCGACCAGCACGAGGTTATGTAGAGGCAGACACAGACAGTTTTAAAGCAGTGTGGGTAGTTTTGTGGACGTCAGCAATGTTTGTATATTCAGAATATGTAGTGTTAAGGAGAATTAAGCTGTTGCCTTCATGACAAGTATGACTCATGACAAGCACCAAACACCCTCACCGCGACGCTGCAGTGGCTTTCTTGACATTTCCTGATACTCCTCTCAGAGCCGCGGAGAGCGGCTGAGCCCAGGGTGGCGAGAGACAACTTCTACTCTCATTGCCTGCTTTAAGTCAGCTAGGGTGGTACAGAATCCTCCAGAAGAAGCCCTTCTTCCTCATTTACAGCACGCTGGAACCACGTTCTTTGAAAGCCATATTCTAAAGCATGTGTTACTAGAAGAAAGAAGTGAGTCTCGGCCCAGGATTAAAAAATACATGGATGTGGTCTCTTGTGACGACATGTAGAGGAACTATTTGCTATTCAGCATTTGAACAACTAAGTTAACCTCCCAGGGAGCCTACTTTTTTTCTGAAGGAAAAAAGTATTGTCCTGGAAGTAGAAGGCGTGAGAGCATGACAGAACTACTCGAATGACAAAACTCGTGGCTAGAGGGGACAGGACAGAAGCTCTGGCAGTCTCCAAAATCAGAATAACTCACCTGCCATTCATCTTCGTCACTGTAGAGGGTGACAGGAATCTCTTGGACATTGTAGAAATGCTTTGCTCTCTCAGTAGTGACCACCTTCACTTCGAGCTAATCAGAACAGAGACAGACAGTATTTAGACTTGAGAACGATCCTGTAGAGCGGGGTAGGGAAGGAAGGCTCGACCCACAAAGATTTTGAAAGCTGTGCAGATTCTCAGAGGACTCTTCCCTACTGTGCACGTGAGCATAACTGCACCTACCGACAGGTGAAAGACCAGCTCACTGCCAGTGTGCATGGGAGCCAAAGGCTCATTTCACTGCCACACTAAAACGGGCAGGTGATTAGTCACCGCCTGCCAAACACGTTCACGTGGCCAGTTCACAGCGGGGACAGCAGAGGACAGAGCAGGTCAGAATGAGACGCAGTTCTGCACAGAACTTCAAAGAGAAAACAAGAAGAAGCAAACCAAAGCTCCTGTGAAAGATGCCATTTAATCTCAAAAGATGCCTGCCAAAGGGAGTAGGAGAGCATCTTGCTTCAGTGGATTCGCTTAATCGCAGCACAGAGGAGCGCCGAGGGGTGGCATGCCCACCCTGTACTTGCAGGACCACTCTTCCCACACTCGGAGCCAAGAGGAAGCTCTCTGCCAAGAGCAAGCACAGCGCTAAGTGACCAGAAGCCCTGCTGAGGGACAAGCTAGCTAGCTGGGGCTCAGCACCACCAGCAAAGCCAGCCCACCTCTGCCGCACAAGGCTTCACAAGGAAGAGTAGCTTTGGAAGACGGGGTACTATTTCTTGGTTGTCAACATGGTCCACAACAATGGACCATGTTGTGCCCCTCTCTCTCCCTCTCTCTCAATTATCTCTGGGTGACAACGGTGGGGACGTAGCTACAGCCTACTGGATACTACTTTTTAGAACTGTGTTAATCAGACTTGCTCCAGACAGAGGTAAAAACAACAGAAGCAAGGCGGGGTTGTGTCTTTCAGCTATCCTTCCTATCCAAGTAAGCTGCTGGAAAAAGGCAAACCTCTGTGTAGCTATGTTTATAAGCTGTAGCTCTGACAAATGCCCCAAACAGCTGCTTGCCACATGCCCTGAAGCGGAGGTGCTCTGCACACACCGGGATCAGACGCAGAGCGGAGCCAGGGTCGGAGCGGCTCTGAACACACTGATCACCCGTGCAGGACATGCAACCACACTTCCACCTGCAACTCCTCCAAGGGATGTGCTTGAAAAACGGCCAATAGGTGGGCTCACACATGGAGGGAATGCTCTGAAAAGACTGTTAATGTGGGAGATGCAACTCAGACCACCGATCAGAGCGAAAAATAACCCTTTTCCTTGTTACTGGCCATTTTCAACCACTTTCTGCTCTTTCAAGCAGTTCACAGCGCAACCCACTGCGTGGTTCTATTTGCCCAACTTAGAGATGGGGAGAAACCAGCCTCACCAACAACTCCTTCCTGCTAGAAAACTGCAAGCTGAGGTACAAAACTGACAAAGCACGTGGTCTGCGCACTCTTGGTAAAACAGAGTGCTGAAAACCTCCAGCCCCCAAGAAGTTATCTTCCACAGCAGCGGTTGAAGTGACAAAACATGTTAACCTATCTCCCCAACACTATCGATCTGACTGGGAATGGAGCAGTGTTGATTATCTACACCCTACATGGCTAGAATAAAATCTTGGGGCAGTGGAAAATCCCAGCCTTAGCATGTCATTGTCTTTGGTAATTTTTCCCATTTCCTGAAAAAGTAGTCATGGAAAATACAGCTGCAGTAACACCAGTATTGGTACTGTATGTTTGGTTCTCTGCCTCTTTTCAATGTCTGCTCTTTTTCAGTCGGCCCTAGCTTGGAATCACAGCTGCATTTCTAGTGAAGATCATTTTCACAGCAATCAACCGTATTGTTTCCATATTACCCTCACCTCACAGGAAGCTGTTTGGAGCCAAGCGGCGACACCCACATAGGTGCTAACGCTGCTCTCTGCTAAGCCATGGGCTTCAATGGGGTGTTAACCTCGAAGCCTAAAATAACCAAGTAAGTTGTACCTTGCAAAGAGCAAGGTGCAGTCTAAAGGGGAGCATCTCCTCTCTGAAATCGTACCAGTTGGCCAGGTCTGCACTGCAAGTTTTCAGCAGTAATGCTTCTATTTTTATTTTACAATTAGCCCTAACGGCATAAGGATTTTTAGATGACACAGCTCTACCTACCGCACAGCGTATTTTGTGACTTGCTATTCAACTGTATCATTATACAAAATTTTCTGCTCTAGACAATAAATACCTCTCTAAGGCTAAGGGATACACAAAGATCCCCCAAAAAGACACTCTGCTTTTTAAAATTTTTTTAAGATAGTTTCAAAACCATCTTCAGTCTTAAAAAACCCAACTTATTTCTTCAAAGCATAAGCCCAGAACAGGGAATAGATGGCTATCGAGTACTGCATCCAACCCACTACACACTACAGCATACCAGAGGGATACATTCAAGGACTCCGAGTGGTGGCGACTCCACCACCCCCCCCAAGAAAGTCTATTAGTTAGAACCCTATTAGTTAAATATTCTCCCTAATTAAGGTTTTCTGCTGGGGTGGGCTCCTGGATCCCTTGTTCTGAAAAAGTCCTTCAAATCCCTCCAGCTACGTTGGAAAGAGATCAGTGTTCTCAAGATCACTTTAGCCTACTTGGGTTTTTTTCCCTCTATTTACCTGGCACACCCTCTGTTTGCCTGTGGTTATATCTTTGCTTAAACAGTAAAGTCAGCCTAGCCACACACAAACTCCTTTACCGGAGACAGTTTAGACTAGTCAGAGTGCTTTTAACTTGGACCACTTGAGCCAATTCTCCAGAATAAACTTCACTGCAAAACCGCTCTCCTGTGTCCATGCAATACTGTTGGACTCGTAGAAGATTCTCCTGTCCCAACCCCTTCTGCTTAGGGTAGGGCCTGTGTATGATTTTCTTTTTCCTGTAACATTCTCAGTTTTGACAGCAAAATCTTTACAGACAGAGCTTTGGTACCCACTGCTGTGGACTAGAATGAGTAGCTCCTTGTTAAATGGCACCTACAAGCCCACGCAGAGGCTACCCAGCAGGAGCACAATGAAACAGCATGACGTGATTTAAACCTAGACCTCCAGGTGATGCCCTGTAGCTTCAAGAGCGACACATTTCAACCACAGAAAGGTTTGCCATTTACATTCTTTATGAGTAACTGATATCCTTGCTAACGTGATTTTTGTCATCATATTCCTGCCAGGTCCTTCAAAAGTCCTAGGAATCAGCCTGAGACAACATGTCTGAGTTACCCACAGTGTCCTGACGAGACACTATGTGCTGTCTCCCCACAACACCAGGTGCAAGGGTAATAACCTGAAAGGTGTAAGCTGATGCTGTTTAAACTTCCTAGCTCTTCAAAGAGGTTAAACAAAAGGCAAGAAGATGTAGTCACATCCATTACCACCCTCAAGGAGACGGTAATGTTTAAAGAGTGCAAAATCACACAAGTTGTTCACCACAGAACATGCATTTAAACTAACCACTCCGGTTTTAAGCCTCTGACCACATCTCCTTTGGTACCAAAGCTTTCCTCTGCTCCTGCCCTATTTGCACCCAATGGCTTTTTAAAGTTCTGTTCCATCAGGAATGAAATTGATGCAACAGGCTTGTGCAGGACTTACCAAACTCAATGTAAAAGTTACACTGACTCAGCGGGCTTTAGATCAGGCTTTGAAATCACATCAGAAACAAGAAAAGAAATACTTTTAGTTAACAAATGAACTACTAGAAGCTCCTTGGCTAGATACTTCACTTTAAATCTTTATGCCACAAAAGCCTAAAACCAGTGGGCGCAAAGCCTGCGATGGATGTCACAGAACCTTCATGGAACTCAGGTCCAGCTGCCTGCAGGTTTTAATTGTAAATCAAATGCTCAGAGAGAAGGAACACGTTTGACCTATATTCCTACAGCGGACCATTTGCACTCTTCCCGTCACCTGCAAAGAAGGATGTTCCAAGCACCAAGAGCAAAGGAAGAGACAACAGTGAAGTCAGTCTGAGAGACAGAGGATTAGAATATGTACATCCTGTATCCCTCACTAACAAGAACCAATGGCTGGAGCCAGCTCTGGTCTGGTCAGCCCCCCTTCCTTGGCATCATTTGTCTCCGGCCCTCTTACTCCAGGCTAGGGCCTTTGGCCTCACTAATCATTTCAGGTCAAGTAATAGATTACCTGAGGCCCCTCTCTGCAACCCCCCAGTGCCAGCCCAACTGGCAGAGTAGGTGCCCACCAGCTGACATCATCTTTGGTACCCTTTTTTGCTTAAATATCAACATTAACCAGATACTGCAGAGTTACTCAGGGATTGCACCTCTTCTGACTCCGTGTCAACGTATCTACAGGTAAGACCTCCTAAATCATCCAAAAGGATACTCGCTAAGCAATCTAGCGAATGTATCTGGATGCATAAATGCACCCTCTTGCTCCTGCCACTCTTTCATTTCACTGCTCTCAAACATCTGCTTCATTTCTTAAAAGCTAAAGGATTTTTATATTTTCCTCTACTTTATTCTACAGTAAAAGTCATCGCATTTCCCTCCTGACTTTAGTCAGTAGTGGCCTCTGCTGGACACCTCCAGACAATAAACTCTGGTAAAAGCCATGCACAGACACAGATAGTGACTTGTACTTTCCATTTCTGCTTTACAAGGTCTGTTTTCCGTCTGTCAGTCAGGCAGCAGTGTGCATCTCTGCAAACCCCACATCTCACCTATGGAAAACCGCAAGGTCCTCCTTGGAGATTTCAAGCTCCAGAAAGTATCACCTGTGTCTGTAGCCAGATCTGAACATTACACTGACAAGGACATAGTCCATAAAATAAAATAAATTAAAAAAACCCCAAACTAAACAAGAAGAGGACCTATTCAACCCTTTTTGAGAGCATGAAGCAAGCTGAACTATGCTACTTTCATATTCCAGAATCTAAATATCTGCCTATGGAAATATCCAGGAACAATTACTGCCTTTAAAACCAAATTTCAAGCTAACTCTTAAGTATAAAGTAGTATGAAATTATAGGAAAAAGTATTAGTCAATTTTTAAAAACAGCGGGATGCCTCCCCCTAGAAATTGTCAAACTGAAAAGCTCAAAGCCAGAAGGAACTTTTCAACAGAAGCCATCAAATCTCTCCTAGAACGGAGAGAGAGGCTAACACCAACTTTACCACACTCTACCAATAGATTCACTCACCCCTGGGATTTTCAGCAATTCGGCGATGAGGAGAGGCAGCTTCAGGGCAGCCACACTTCCAGTCACACCCACCAGGACACGGTACTTATGCTGTGGCACAGATGAACTATTTTCTGCAGTAAACCCTGGTTCTGGCGGCGAGCAGGGCTCCATGCTCCAATCAAACTCTAAAAGCACAGAAGAACAAAGCCACTTGACTAACAGTGCCTGTGAGCAAGTCTAGCACAGCACAGGTCCAGCACTGACCTACTCCCGAGAGCACAGATCTAAACCTGGGCTATGCAGGACCCAGCAATTCAGTCTGAGGATGAACACGCAGGCTCTGATCCGCAAAGCTCCCAGGCATCAGCAGACCTTTAAGCATAGCAGTGGTATTCTCTTCCTGTTTAATTACAATTTGCTCTCAGATACAGGTAAACAGAACACTAAAATCTGCACAGGGAGGCCACAAAAGTATTCTAGTAAAGCCCACAGCCCCCAAAACAAAGATACATTCTCATATGTTGAACGGGGTCCAGAATTTACAATAAATGTACCTTTCATGCTGACTGCTGGATACAACCCCCAGCTGAGTCAGTCTGCCTTCACACTCTCTGGTGAGTAATAAATGCAAGGAGACATCTTAGTAATTAAAAATGTTGGTGCCCTGAGGTGAGCATTATCATCTTTCTTCCTACTGTATCGCAACATATTCACAGCAGCGCTAGAAACGACTCTGGCAGACGAAGGAAAAAAAAAAACAAAATAGCAAATAAGACACAGAACATGAACAGCCCCCCAAGTGAAAACACCTTCTCAGGGGCACGCAGAACTGCTCGCTCCCCCACCAGCACCAAGCAAAGCGATCTGCAGGCTAAGGCAGCCGCTGCCGATGGTGGGCCAGGCCAGCTGCTTTAACTCAAGACTCCTGCCTCTTCCCAGCACCGCTGCCAGCGTTCCTCCACAGAATCAACGTGAACATCTCTGCTTAATAGTTAGCAAAGAGTACATTCACTTCTTAAAAAAAATCTGAAAAATGTGTTTCTGGCAAAGACTGGGATTCAGTAAAGTTTGTTCAATGTTACCAACATCCACGTTACTTGGAGGAAGCCACTTCAAAGTGTTTTGGCTAGGACAAAAAAAGAAGAAAGAGATGCTTACGCTGCCTTTATTTTTTTGGTATCAACTCAGATATTGGAGCGAGGAGAGCTGTATTCCCGTGTGAGAGAAATTTACCCCTTCAATCGCTCTCCAGGATGACTGAGCAGCGAGTTAACTTTAGAACCCTTCACGGGGCGATTCAGATCACACTTGTGCCGCAGCTACATGGAAGTCTGACCTCAGCACCCAGCCCAAACATTCTTTCTAACCTCAATGCATTTATTAAAAAAAAAAAAAAAAGGCACGATTTCAGCTTGAGCTTCTTGGCACTGATTAGCAAGAGTAATTAGGGGCAAGGAAATCCAGCATGCATACTGGTGATTTCAACGCTACTGCAGCACGTTACGTGTTTATCTATATCTAATGAAAATTAACGCCATTGCAGCGTAGAAAACATCCACTTCGCTCATGATTACTAAGCAACAATTAATTCACCAAAGCATCCACGTTTTAAAGTCTGGGAAGCAAGACATGATTTTTTAATAGGCTGCTTGACAAAAAGGGCTATTAGTGACAAAACAAAAGCACGATGTTCTGGGCCGCGATTTCCTCTTCCCCAAACACAGCTCTGGGGGATCAGCTAAGAAGTCGTCAGAAAACGAGCGGTTTACAGACCTACTTCGTTATTTTATCAGCTTCTGAGCTCCACCGTTACGCTGAAAACAGCTTCAAAAGGCCGCTGAGGCAAAGAATAGAACCGAGAACCCCGGGGATTTCCAAAATGTGAAAAAATAAAGGTTTATATACCGTCAGAGACAAGACGGAGATCAGGAGGGACAGGAGAACGATAACGCCCCGTGCTCAAGCCCCGGCGACCCCAGGGCCGGGGTTCGGCCCGCCTCGCCGTCGCCCAGCAACGGGGACGTGAACCCCGCGCGCCCCGGAAGGCGAAGGGCACGCTGGGAA